GGCCCTCTAGGATAAATTATACTTAGCATCCATGTATTATACACCGAATTTCACTTTAATTTCTCATTTTTCTAATTGCAATAGTAAATCCATTACACTTTTAGTCAAAGTACAATATAGACATTCCACAATTTATCGTTTGGAGAATTGATGGTGAACTTTAATGGGTTCGTATACCACCTGTTTGTTCTTGGTTAGGTCACAGTTATTCATTGTGTTATGTTTTTTTTTTTTTTGTCATCATAAACTTTTTATTCCCTGTCTGGGGCCTCAATCTTCTCAAGCATCAAGTGGCTTAGTTGGGTTGATGCCCAACATGTGCATAGCTTTCAGCATAGACGGTGCATCATTTGTACAAACTTGTGATGCCACTAACCTCGCCACATTCAGCTTTGGTGACATGGGGTGGTAATGGATGGGCGAAGGGGTAGGAGTGACTGTGGGTGGGGGAAGGGATGGAAGGATTGGCAGAGAAAATCATTTTAGAAATGAAGAAGAAATGTAGTAAAATTGCATAGGTACCCTAAGAAATGCCTCAACACCCAATTAACGGAAGAGTGGCATTGGAACTTGATAATAACTGTAATGGGTTAACTGTTGTAGTTGAAAAATAAGAGATCAAAATGAGATCGAGTGCAGGATGTCAAATGTAATTTACCCAACTCTAACTATTTCATACACGTTACAAATACGTCTTAAAAATATTTGTCACTAGATGAAAACAACAAATGTCACCGAATCTTACATATCTGCATGATATTTGTCATGTAGACCATATACACCAGGATTTTTAATTTTTCATAAAGGTGTTGGCCTCTCTGGAACATTAGGAACATCAACATCTTCTTCCAACATCTTAATCGCGTCCAAAATGGTAGGCCTCACAAAAACCATTGCATGAGTGCAAAAAACCCCAACTGCTAAAAACCTCTTCACCATAGCCTTCACATTTGCACTTTCTTCATCTCCTTCACCAATCTCTCTCAGCAAACTACTATCCAAAGCCTCTTCCATGTTCCCCTCCTTCACCAATGACCAACACCAATTCGTGAGCACCAATGTCCAAACCAGAGACCCCTTTGACGAGTTCAAATCAAAATCACCACCACCAAGAGCTTTCATTTTTAAATATATTTATAATTATTTACAAGGAATGATTTTGAAAATTTTTAATTTTTAATTTTGACTTTTCAAAGTGGGCATACATTTTGGGACAACAAAAAATATAATAATAGACCAATAAAATGGGATGGAGGGAGTATCAATCAAAATTTGATTAAAAAATTTCACCATATGTACAAGCACACATATACATATAGAATAAGATATGTAAGTTTTATATATACACACACACAAAAATTAAATATTAGGGTTAATTACCACAAAAAAAAAAACTCTAAGGTTTCACGCGTGTTTTACTTTAAACTCCAGCATTTTTCAATTTAAACTCCAAAACGATTATCCGTTACCTTACACAGATGGAGATAGACGGAAGGGGGTACATTGAAATACGGATAGAACTCCAAGATTTAATTTGTTGAAATTGAAACACTGAAATTTAAAATTAAAAACACGTGAAATCTCCAGGTTATCTTTGTAATTAACCCTTTTTTTTCTTATGCTATTTGATATTCGCAAACATAACATCAATATGGAGTGCGAAAATAAGGTGGAAGTGAATTATAATGATAGGTCTCACACGGAAAGAAGAAAGTAGTGACAAAGCAATTACCAATAAAAAAAATAATGAGAAAAAGCATTAAGCAAGTCTCTCTCCTAGAAATTATGGCAATGGTGTCTATTTTATATGTGGCCCATGACCTTTTTTTTTGCAATTTCTTAGTCATTTCTGTACATTTCACTAGCAAATTCTCGAGTTCGGAAAAAAAAAAAAAATTTACGTTTTCAGATAATTAACTTTAATATAAGGAGAGTAGTGACAAAGCAATTACCAATAAAAAAAAATTAAAAAAAATAATGAGAAAAAGCATTAAGCAAGTCTCTCTCCTAGAAATTATGGCAATGGTGTCTATTTTATATGTGGCCCATGACCTTTTTTTTTTGCAATTTCTCAATCATTTTTGTACATTTCACTGGCAAATTCTCAAGTTCGGAAAAAAAAAAAAAATTTTTAGATAATTAACTTTAATAGAGGGAGAGTAGCTATAATAATAGTTAAGATTTTTGTTAAGTTAATGTAAAAAAAAAAAAATGTCTGATTATATTTTTGTTTTCAATTATGTTGATAAAGAATATTCAATTAATACTAATATTATTCACTTTTTTTGTGTTGGCATAAATTAAAATTTTAAATTTTATAGTACTTGTTTTCGATGAAAAGGTATTTGTATTTTTATCTCCTAAAGTTTGAATTCTGGATCTGTTCCTAATTAAAGACCCTGTTAAATAATTAGACCTTTTTAGCACTTTTGTTTGGTAAAAAAAAAAAAAGAAAAGATAATTGGAACTTGATATGAAAATTTTGTTTGATAAACTGTTTTTGATAATTACTTTTGGGAACAATCCTTTTTTATAGTGAAATTAAAAGATTCTTTCAATAAAAAATATGTAAACATTCCACACTTTCTTATTTTGAAAATACAAAATCATTTGATAAAAAATTTGACAATTTTGACAGTTTTTTCCACAAAGATTAATACGAAACTCATCTACAAAAATTACATAGAGAAAGAGGGAGGGAGAAACATTTTATTCACAAAAATGAGTAATTGGCATGATGCTTGTGTGTGATATGAGAAAAGCCTCATGAACACCAAACAAACACCATTACTCATCACATATTACAATAATAAAATAAACAAGTGCAAATTTTAACCACTAATTTTTATAGTTTCGTTTTAGTGTCATTTTGATCTTTGTAATTTTAATTAATTCAATTTCAATCTTAAATTTTTTATTTTTTCAATTTAACCTAATTGATTGCAATTTTTAAGTTCCTTTTTTTTTTTTAAAAAAAAAATTATGAAAAGTGCACACATAAGTAGGCATGAGTTATGCTTTTAAGAACAAAATTGTAAATTTTTTTAACTAAGTGAGTCAATCTCAATCATCTCATTAACGATTTTACTTCAAAAACACTAATTGACATTATTAATTGAATCAAATTAATACAAAATTTAAAATTAAAATCAATATTAAATCAATTAAAAATGTGAGAATCAAAATGATATACAAAACCTCCCAATTTAATTTACCCAATATTTTTACATTTTGCTTCGGGGGCGCTGCCCCTCACCCCCGCCGTGGCGCTGCCCCGGACCCGCCAAGGGGCGCTGCCCCCTTGACCCCTGCGAGCTGACCGGGCAGCTCGATCCCCGTCATAATCAGCGAAGTGGCAATCTTGAAAGCTTTATCATCACAAACTTCTCTGAAAGGCTTGATTCGGGTTGGATTCGCATCTAACAACTTATAGCCTCACTGAAATAAAAATGCGAATAAAATTACAACTCAAAGGAGTTTTGTCAAACGGGATTGCCAAGAAATAAAACCTAACACTTAGTGAACATTAAAATATATAATTAATAATTCATGTTATTGAGTCGTGTCATACTTGGATTTATGCTGAAAAATAGTCAACCATAACTTGCTAATTTTATATATTGCTTGAGTTGTGTCGAAAATTCTCATCTTTACTCTCAATTAATTTTAGTTATTATAGCATTGGTAAGCTAAAAAATAAAGATTCGATTAAACTAATTGAAGTTCAACTATTTTATGCATACATATATATATATATATATATATTTGTTATCTAAATTTTGTTAAATTGTAATGAAACAGAAACAAATTTTTATCCTTTTTGTTTTATCCAAACATTTTTTTTTAAGGTAATGATATATAAAAGGTCTAATTTAAAAAATTCGCCTTAGGCCCCTAATAACTCAGGGCCGGCCCTGGACAAATCTTCACAAAAATAATAAAAAATAAAAAATAAAAAATTTAGTCCTCGATCTATATTAGAAAGTATTGTTCAAACACAGAGTTCATTACAAGTTTCATTATAAACCATCCATTTTTTTATTTTAAATTTTTCATTATTTAGTGTTTTTAGAGTACTACTCTACATTATTCATGCTAGAATACTTGTCCAATTATCTCTTACAAAAGAGAGATTTTTTTTTTGATTAAATTGTAAATTAAATCATTGGTCTCTGTAATTTAAGAAAAGTGTCATTTTAGTTATCGTAATTTTAATTTGAATATTTTGGTCTTTACATTTTAAATTTTGTTACAAGATGGTCCCTCCATCAAATGTTGTTAATAATTGAAACAAAAAAAATTAAGTGCAAAATTAAAAAAATCAAAATAAAATTCAAAACAAATTATAAAGACCAATAATATAATGAATATATTATATTAATAATCCTTATTATTGATTTTAAATTTTACTTTAGTCCCTCTTTTATTTTACTCGTAGTATTTTTTTATTTTAAATTCAAATAAAATTAAAAATATATTAACCAAAACCCCATATTATTGGGTAAAGATTGAAAAACTTCTAAGGCAGAAACGGAGAAAAATCATGATAGGGATATGAATTCATTTAAAAATATATTAAAAAATAATTGGGTTCTACCTACGGAATTTGGTTCTTTTATTTTTTTAATTTATATGTTGTTTTCGCAGAGGGACCGGGAGCCAATAAAAGAAGACGCCATTTTTGACTTTTTTCTTAGCGCCCAATAATATAATATTTGGGTTCCTTCTACTAACAATAATAATAAAAAAAAAAACAATAATATAATATTTGGGTTCTTTTATTTTGAGTATTTTATTTTTATTTTTAATGAGCAATGATAAGTATTATGAAAATTTTTTCATGAAAATGATAATGATTTATGACCTTTAGATATCCCTTAAAATAAAACATCACACAATAATTAAGATAATCTAAAGATTATAAATCTTTCATTTTCATGAAAATTTTTTCATGATCCCTATCTTTTTTTTCATTTTTAATTTATACGTTGTTTTCACGGAGGGACAGGGGGCCAATGAAAGGAGACTCCACTTTTGACTTCTTCTCAGCACTCAATAATTTCTTCTTCTTCTTCTCACAATAATATAGCCATCTTTGAGACTGCTAAAACATTTTTCACTGAAAAAAAACTCAACAACCTCTTTGCTTTGCTTTGCTTCGGTTCGCTTCTGATCTGTTGGTTTTTTCCTTCTGTAATCAGAAACAATGCCTATAGCAGAGATCTTTCTCTCTGCCTTCGTCAAATTGCTGTTTGAGAAGATGTCCTCTTTTGCGTCCTCCAAATTACCCACCTTTGAAGGTATTGACACCCAACTGACCAATTGGACCAATATGCTGTCTCAAATTGAAGCTCTTCTGATTGACGCAGAGGAGAAGCAATTGACAGATCGAGCCGTGAACCTATGGCTCGACAATCTCCAGGATGTGGCATATGATTTGGATGATGTTGTGGATGAGTTCGCCACTGAAGCTTTGCGACAGAGTCTCAAGGCAAAGCCGCCCCAAGCTAGTTCTAGTAAGGTATGGAACCTCATCCCAAATTTCAAGCCAAGAGATGTTATGTTTAATTTCAAAATGAAGTCCAAGATTGAGGAGATCAATACCAGATTGCACAATAGTTATGAACAATGTTCGAAACTTAAATTGGTTAAGATTGTTGGAACCACCCCTACACCTATGACTAAGACTTGGCAAAGACCAGACTCTACATCTTTATTTGATGAACCTCACATTTATGGCCGAGAACATGATCAAAGAAAGATAATTGAGTTGCTTGTAAGGGGGAATGAATCAAGTCATAACAACATTGGTGTAATTCCCATTGTGGGTATGGGTGGGATTGGCAAGACCACCCTTGCTCAGATGGTATACAACGATGAAACTGTGCAGAAGCATTTCCATCTGAAAGCCTGGGTCTGTGTGTCAGATGAGTTCGACATTATGAGAATAACAAAAGCAATTCTTGAGTCAGTGACTTCCCAGACATTTAGTTTTAATAACTTGGACCAATTTCAAGTTCAACTAAAGCAGGCTTTGGCTGGAAAGAAGTTCTTAATTGTTTTAGATGATGTCTGGAACAAAAAATACAGTGACTGGAATGTTTTGAAGAAACCTTTCAACGATGGAGCCCAAGGGAGTAAAGTAGTGGTGACAACACGTAACAAAGGTGTTGCAAAAATGATGCGAGCTATTGAACTTCATGACATTGAGGTCCTATCAGATGATGATTGTTGGTCATTGTTTTCAAGACATGCCTTTGAGAATAGAAGTATTGATGCAAATCAAAATTTGGTATCGATTGGTAAGAAAATTGTCAAGAAATGTAAAGGTTTGCCTTTGGCTGCTAGGACACTCGGTGGCCTTTTACATTGCAAAGAACAAGATGAGGAATGGGAAGATGTATTGCACAGTAAAATATGGGATTTACCACAAGAAAGTGACATCCTTCCAGCTTTGAGGTTAAGTTACCATCATCTACCTTCACATTTGAAGCAGTGTTTTGCATATTGCTCCATAATACCCAACGACTATGAATTTGAGAAAGAGGAGTTGGTCTTCTTGTGGATGGCAGAGGGTTTCATTCAAAAACAAAGAAAGAAACAAATGGAAGATGTTGGAGGTGAGTACTTCCAGGAATTGTTGTCAAGGTCTTTTTTCCAACGATCAAGTACTAGTAAAAGCTCTAAATTTGTGATGCATGACCTCATCAATGATTTGGCTCAGGTAGTTGCAAGAGATACTTGTTTAAGATTGGATGATAAATTTAAAGATCAGGAGCAATACCGAAATCTAAAGAAAGTTCGACATTCATCCTACACCCAAAAGTACCATGAGGGTATGAAAAAATTTGAGATCTTTGACAAAGCCATGCACTTACGAACTTTCTTACCATTTAACACACTAAATGGTCTGAATTGTTATTTGGCAAGCAATGTTCCCCTTAATCTACTGCCAAAGCTAAGAAGCTTGAGGGTGCTCAATATGAGTAGATATTGCATCACAGAAGTTCCAAATTCGGTTGGAGATTTGAAACATCTGCGGTATCTTAACCTATCCCACACCTCCATTGAAGAATTACCTGAATCACTAGGCTCTCTTTACAATCTACAAACATTGATGTTAAGAGAATGTACAAAACTGAAAAAGTTGCCAACAGACTTGGGAAACCTAATTGACCTACGTCATCTCGATACTACAAATGCACATTCCTTAAAAGAAATGCCACTGGGAATAGGTAAGTTGGCTAGTCTTCAAACGCTGTCCAATTTTATTGTTACTAAAAACAGTGGGCATCGGTTAAAAGAGTTGGGAAATTTAATTTATCTTCGGGGGAAGCTTTGCTTATCTGGGTTACAGAACGTGGTGTTTCCATTAGATGCAAGGGAGGTGAATTTAAATGATAAGAAGGGGTTAGACATGTTATCAATGGAATGGAGTGTTAACTCAGATAATTCACGAGATGTAAGAGTTGAAACAGGAGTGCTTGACATGCTGCGACCTCACAAAGGTTTAAAAGAGCTCCATATCAAAGGCTACCTTGGTATAGGATTTCCGACTTGGATAGGAGATCCTCTGTTCTCCAATATAGTTGACGTAAGTTTAGATAATTGTGGAAATTGTGTATCCTTGCCACCACTTGGACAACTACCCTCTCTCAAAAACCTTTACATTAAAGGAATGACTGTACTAAAACATGTCAGTCCTGAGTTTTATGGGCAGGGTAGTGCCAAACCTTTTCAATTACTGGAGACTCTAAGCTTTAAGGATATGCCGGAATGGGAGTATTGGTATACTTTTGAAGATGATAAGGAAGTTGAACCATTTACTCATGTTAGTGAGCTCTCCATCGAAAATTGTCCTAAACTTGTTGGAATGTTGCCAAGTTATCTACCTTGTTTGAATAATCTAAAGATTACAAAGTGCCCGCAACTAAGGGGGGATGAATCAAGTCATAACAACATTGGTGTAATTCCCATTGTGGGTATGGGTGGGATTGGCAAGACCACCCTTGCTCAGATGGTATACAATGATGAAACTGTGCAGAAGCATTTCCATCTGAAAGCCTGGGTCTGTGTGTCAGATGAGTTCGACATTATGAGAATAACAAAAGCAATTCTTGAGTCAGTGACTTCCCAGACATTTAGTTTTAATAACTTGGACCAAGTTCAAGTTCAACTAAAGCAGGCTTTGGCTGGAAAGAAGTTCTTAATTGTTTTAGACGATATTTGGAACAAAAAATACAGTGACTGGAATGTTTTGAAGAAACCTTTCAATGATGGAGCCAAAGGGAGTAAAGTTGTGGTGACTACACGTGACAGAGAAGCTGCAGGAATGATGACAACTGTTCAACTTCATGACGTTAAGTTCCTATCAAAGGAGGATTGTTGGTCATTGTTTGCACAGCATACTTTTGCGATTACAAGCATTGATGCAAATCCAAAATTGGTATCAATTGGTAAGGAAATTGTGGAGAAATGTAAAGGTTTGCCTCTGGCTGCTAGGACACTCGGTGGCCTTTTACGCAGCAAAGTACGAGATGAGGAATGGGAAGACGTATTGCATAGTAAAATATGGGATTTACCACAAGAAAGTGACATCCTTCCAGCTTTGAGGTTAAGTTACCATCATCTACCTTCACATTTGAAGCAGTGTTTTGCATATTGCTCCATAATACCCAACGACTATGAATTTGAGGAAGAGGAGTTGGTCTTGTTGTGGATGGCAGAGGGTTTCATTCAAAAACAAAGAAAGAAACAAATGGAAGATGTTGGAGGTGAGTACTTCCAGGAATTGTTGTCAAGGTCTTTTTTCCAACCATCAAGTACCAGTAAAAGCTCTAAATTTGTGATGCATGACCTCATCAATGATTTGGCTCAGGTTGTTGCAAGAGATACTTGTTTAAGATTGGATGATAAATTTAAAGATCAGGAGCAATACCGAAATCTAAAGAAAGTTCGACATTCATCCTACACGCAAAAGTACCATGAGGGTATGAAAAAATTTGAGATTTTCAACAAAGCCATGCATTTACGAACCTTCTTACCATTTAACTTACCATATGGTGTGAATTGTCATTTGGCAAGCAATGTTCCCTTTAATCTATTGCCGAAGCTAAGACGCTTGAGGGTGCTCAATATGAGTAGTTATGACATCATAGAAGTTCCAAATTCTGTTGGAGATTTGAAACATCTGCGGTATCTTAACCTATCCAACACTAACATTGAAGAATTACCTGAATCACTAGGCTCTCTTTACAATCTACAAACATTGATGTTAAGAGGATGTAGACAACTGAAAAAGTTGCCAACAGACTTGGGAAACCTAATTGACCTACGTCATCTCGATACTACAAATGCACATTCCTTAAAAGAAATGCCACTGGGAATAGGTAAGTTGGCTAGTCTTCAAACGCTGTCCAATTTTATTGTTACTAAAAACAGTGGGCATCGGTTAAAAGAGTTAGGAAATTTAATTTATCTTCGGGGGAAGCTTTGCTTATCTGGGTTACAGAACGTGGTGGTTCCATTAGATGCAAGGGAGGTGAATTTAAATGATAAGAAGGGGTTAGACGTGTTATCAATGGAATGGAGTGTTAACTCAGATAATTCACGAGATGTAAGAGTTGAAACAGGAGTGCTTGACATGCTGCGACCTCACAAAGATTTAAAAGAGCTCCATATCAAAGGCTACCTTGGTATAGGATTTCCAACTTGGATAGGAGATCCTCTATTCTCCAATATGGTTGACGTAAGTTTAGATAATTGTGGAAATTGTGTATCCTTGCCACCACTTGGACAACTACCCTCTCTCAAAAACCTTTACATTAAAGGAATGACTGCACTAAAACATGTCAGTCCTGAGTTTTACGGGCAGGGTAGTGCCAAACCTTTTCAATTACTGGAGACTCTAAGCTTTAAGGATATGCCGGAATGGGAGTATTGGTATACTTTTGAAGATGATAAGGAAGTTGAACCATTTACTCATGTTAGTGAGCTCTCCATTGAAAATTGTCCAAAACTTGTTGGAATGTGGCCAAGTGATCTACCTTGTTTGAATAATCTAAAGATTACAAAGTGCCCGCAACTGCTAGTTGATGATGAAGTGATATCAGCAAATGCAAAGTCTAAGCATCCAAGTTCAATAACTTCCTTGAGCATTGGGATGATTAAGAAACTCGAGCTCTTGCCAAAATGGGTTACTCATGGGCTGATGGAACTCAAAGCATTGGAGATCACAAGCTGTGAAGAACTCAAGACACTGTGGAAGAACGAGGCGAGAGTACAACACAGTCTCCCTGCATTTCAACGTTTGAAAATTGAAGGCTGCCCCCAGCTTGTTTCATTGTTTGAAGAAGATGAGGATGAAGACAACAAAGGGCAACATGAGCAGCAGCAGCAGCAACAAGAGGGACTCCCCTGCATAGTGAGGAGGCTTGAGCATCTAAAAATAGATAATTGTGAAAAGCTAGAGAAACTGCCACGGCTGGTACATAACTTCACTTTTCTTGGAGAGTTGTTTGTCTATAAGTGTCCGAGTCTCGGCTCTTTTCCAGAGACAGGTTTTCCGTGCACATTGAAAACACTCAGGATATATGATTGTGAGGCTTTGCAATCCTTATTCGGGTGTTTAACACAGATTAATGACAGTAATCTTCAAGTGTTAGATGTTCGTGATTGTCCATCCCTCACAAGCTTGATATCGTGTAGAGGTGGGGGGCTACCACCCACACTCAAAGAGCTTGGGATTAGGAGGTGTAAAAAGTTGGAGGCACTGCTAGTAGTAGAGGAGGGGATGGAAATTACCTGTCCATCTCTTGAGTCTGTTTGGATCAGTTATTGTGATAGGCTCAAATACTTGCCAGATGCCCTTCCTAATAATGATAATAATAATCTCAGGAATCTCAGTCGATTGTACTTGTATGGGTGTAAGAATTTGGAGTACATTCCGGAAGGATGGTTCCGCTCCGCAACAAATCTGGCACATTTGGATATCAGGGAATGCAAAAAACTCAAGGCCCTACCACACGGATTGCAGAGCATCAACTACCTCACTTCTCTTCAATCGCTGTATATGAATATTTCACAATGGAACAACAACTTCAAGAAGATTGGTTTGCGCAGTTTATCCTCTCTTAGAACACTGTCGATTTCAGGCGCAATTAGCGTGGCAGAGGATGAAGAAGAAGAAGGTGTAGCGGGGTCCAGCTTTCCGATAGATGGGAAGTTGCTGCCCACCTCTCTGCTCAATCTTTGGATCGGGAATTTCCGAAATCTGGAGAAGCTGTCTTCAAAGTGGTTTCAAAACCTCGCCTCTATTGAATCTCTTGAAATCGGCAGTTGCCCTAGGCTCAAATCTTTACCAGTGCAAAGGCTGCCTCCCTCACTTAACAGATTATCGATCTATGGAAGTCGGAAACTGACAAGGAAGTGTGAAAAGGGGAAAGGCAAATATTGGCCCCACTTAGCTCACATACCTGAAGTCCATGTTCATGATTAAGCTCTGTTGTGGAGATTCCCACCGCAGTTTTACAAGCACTCAAATTGCCAGGTATCAAAACATAAACCAATTTTATAAATATAAACATTTAAAAAATATTTTCAAATTTTAAAAACAAAAAATCATATAAAAAACAATAAAGTGTTTTTCATTTTTATTTTTTTACTTTTACAGATTTTAAAAAACTTAATCAAACAATGTAGTTGATAATAAAGATTTCTAGCATTGTTAATTTTAATGTCTTTTTGCTTATTGGCTTTCAATTTTTTTTTTGAATGAGGGATCGCTGAAGTATGCAGTACATCATATTTTCAAGTTAATGAATTTTTTTGGATGACCAAGTTATTTGCAAATTCATATAAAAATTTAAAATAAAATGAATTTGTATTTTCAATTAATAAAAAATATTTTTGAAAATAATGAAAAAAGTATGTTAAATTTAAATTTGGAGGACCATTATGGAATGAGTAAATAATTTTTAAAATTTTGTTTGGTTTTGGAGTTATCAAAAAAAGTTTTAAAATTTTTAATTCATATTTTTTTAATATATTGGCTAATTTGTTTTATTTATTTATTTACTTTTCAGATGCATCTAATCAGCATATACTTAAAAAAAAATTTAAAAATTAAAAAAATCTTTAGAAAAATTAAATAGATACAAAATACATACAAAAATGTATTAAATTTGTATATTTGTTAATACTTAGTGATTTTTTAAACAATTTTTTCATTAATTTTATACATTTTAGTTGTATTTAGATTGAGTGAATCTAAAAACTTGAAAACATTGATTAAATACTTAAAAGTTTCACTAAAAACAATAAAATACAAATTGAAACTTAAAAACTATTTTTAAAAACTCCAAAACCAAACAGAGTTTTAAAAATTATTTCAGATTCTAAAAACTAAATGAGTTTTGGATTTTCAAATTTCTGAAAACTATTTTTAGAATATACAGCCAAACAAATTTTTAGAAAATTATCTTTCAAAATTGATTATGAAAACCAAACCTTAGTTTTTTGGGTTTTCTGAGTTAGTCATCAATAAAATATTTTTGTATTTGTTAAGCTGTTGCCTGTACACTAAAGTTAGATTGAAAGTGATTAAGTTGGTACAAATTCTTGTTGAAGGGAGAATTTTTTGGCCGGTCAAATGAGGGTAATGTTTTAAAAAAAAAAAAGGAAAGAGCATGAAACGCTGTGATGTAAGTAGTTTGCAATTGCTTAGAAAAATTAAACAAATTTTTTGTTGTTGTAAGAGCTAACTTAAAAAGTTACAAACAAATATACGCATATCAGGTGTTCAAATTTCATTTTGGTGAGTTGTTCTAATAAATATGGAAATTGAAAGCAATTTTAATTGTATACCTGAAGTTGTTACATTTTTTGTATGAAAAAAATTCAGAGTATTAAGTTTTATCAATTTAGAAGGGATTATTTGATACAGAAATGTGCTTTCAAGGATTTGAATACAAAGAAAGGCTTCTTTCGATAGATTTCCTCATCTGCTTTTATTTCCGAGGGAACCACAACAAATGGAAGAGTTCTCATTTCTTTCCAACTTGGTGTATTTGTCCTTGGATATCCTGTGCATCCAGTGATTGTTCGCTATCCCCATGTACATTTTGACCAATCCTGGTAAGAATTTTCTTGAGTTGAAACTGATTTGTTTTCTTTTGTAATATCTTTACCTAACTTGCATCATATGGCCTTTCATTTTGTTTAGGGGAAATATAGCTTCGGGAAACCTCATGTTTAGAATGTTCATAGTTTCACAATTTCATGGAGGTATGTTGAGTGATTTTTATATAGTTGCATTTAGTGAAAATGTAATGAGCTTGGCTTCCCCCACTATTTTTGTTTGTAAAATTTTTGGGTAGTATGGTGTATGAGGTGGCAATTCATATATATAGGTTGTCATAGTGAACCCCCAATTTGCTATTTTTCTTTTGATAACTAACCCACTCTCATAGTTCATCAATACTGATTATTCATTAGCTTAAATGTACATATATTTATATAATGTGTTCCTGACTATATTATAATTTAAATTTTGGTTACTGAATAACTTGTATGTAGTAAAAAGTTGAATGAAGTCATTTATTAAATTGTACAGGTAGAGTATCTTCCTATTGTTTTACCCCTTGAAACTCAGTAGAAAAATGCTGCCCATTTTGCTCAGAGCGTGAGTCAACATTATTTTATTAATCTTTGCTGCCTTGTTTGCTTTAGTTGATATTTTAATATTAAGTATATTCTTATACATCAAAGTTTTTAATGGGCACATTACATACAATTTGTTAATATTTTGTATATTGTTAACATGTTATGTATTTCATATGCTTAATCTCCTGAGCAATTTAGAACTAGTGGATGTTTAACACACCCTAAATAATGTAATTGAATTTGTGTGATGTTATGTCTACTGCATTTGTGTGTGGAAGCCTACCTTTTTTTTTTTTTTTTGGCACTTGTGCTCAAAGAATTAGCAAATTGATGATTGGGTCTTTGGATTTCGAGTAATATTTTATATATACAAAGATCAAAATTTCGTTTCGGTGTGTTGTTTCAAATAGTACAGAAACAAAAACATTTCTGAAATATTTTATGAAATGAAGATAAAATAGAAATGTTTGGAAATATAAATTGAAATATATCTAATTGTATAAAAGCCTAATAATTGATTAATTAAACAAATTGAGATTCATATAGTCATTCACGTAAAAGAATTAAAAAACTAATGTTACTATGAACTAAAAATTATTAAGTATTGTCAAATAACTCAATTTTATTAAATAAAAGTTTCCAATAAGGTCTAAAAATTTACTTAAGCTGTAGTAATAAATGTTTATGAAAATACCTAAATTTGTATCGATACAATTTACTCTTTCTGTATATCACACTATGTTTTGGTGTCTTTCACTATGTTTTGATGTATTTCAATCAAGGTTCTGAAAAACGGTTGCGGTCGCCGTAACGGTGGCGGTGACATGGTTGCGGTTGCGGGGTGTAAAGGCCGTAGTGTAACGGTTGCGGTAACCGGAACTGTGAATTTTTTTATTTTTTGCACAATTTGAAAAAAACTTACCGATACGAATATTTTTTTTCCATGATCATATTTATTGGGTTAAAAATAAATATTGATCAATTTTTGTAAATTTTTAAGTATGATCCAATATATTTCATATTTTTAAATCATTATAAACTGAGTTTTTTACATTTTATTTTAATAATTAATAACTTTATATTATACAAAATATCAATCACTAACTATTATATATAAGATAAACAATGACAAAAGTAAGAGAATAAATAAGAGCTTAAATATATATATATACATATTTTAACCAAGCTAAATAGATAATGACCACACTTATTATTATTATTATTTTCAAACAATATATAGATAGACACACACAAACAAAATGGTTTAGTGATAGCAGCTGAATAAAATAGCATAGGTCTTACAATTTCAACAAATCAATAACATGTTTTTCATCTTTTCTCTTCTCTCTCTATCTCTTGTTCCTCCATTTTCTCTCTTTATCTTCCCTCTTTTCTCTATCCCTCTTCCCCTATTTTCAGCTTTTTTTTTGTGTTTTTTCGAAAGAAACAGTTTGAAACCATTACGTAACGGTGCGTAACAGGCCATTACGGCACCGTTACGACCGCTATGGCAGCCGCTACGGCCGACACACCTGTGAATCTCAATCACACTGCAAAAGCGGCCGTAACGGGTGGCGGTAACCGCCAAAACCGTTACATAACGGCGTTACGTAACGGTTGCGGCCGCTTTTTAAAACCTTGATTTCAATGAAAACACTAGAATTTTATTATTCCATTAGTGTTTTGTTTCGGTCTCTTGGGAAATGGGAACATTTCGGCCATTTCAATGGAAACAAATGAAAATTTTGTTCCTCATATATATTAAAGATAAATCCATGTTAAAAAGTTTTCATTCATGTGTTGTCTATGTTTTTCATGTTATTTGGTTCCAAACAAATGGCATATGGTACCTATTAAAATTGGGTGTAACTGCACATGCAACAGCCCTCGTGTCTTCTATGTGCACTATGTTAACTTATTACAATTGGAGGAATAGTTTCCTATTGTCCGTCTTTAGTTTGGGAAATTTTTCCCTTTTGTATTCTTTTAGTAGCTGTTGGTGTAGTGCCTTGATCCTTAGGGGCAGAGCCACGTATAACAAAGTTGGGTCAAGTGACCCCATTGGAAATTTGAAAATCTGAAATTATTGTTCTGGCTTTTTGAAAATTTTATTTTAAATGAGGTCAATCTTGTACACTAAAAAATATGAACTAATTTCATAAAGCATAGGGATTAATATATACTCATGTTACCCTTTTTTTCCTTCTAATATTTTTGTTATTCTTTTTCATTTTCTTCTTTCTTTGAATTCTTTTGTAGATGTTCACATGTTACCTACCTTATACATCACTATTATATTAATATCCAAGGTGATGATTACAGCATTTTGTGACAGTTTAGGAGAGGATTTATGCTTATATTTTAAAAAAAGGGGGAAAAAAAGAGAAGAGAACTTGTGGCATTAAAAAGGAATTGTCAACAGACACAGTGGGTGTTGTTTTCTTCAACTAAATTAACTAAACAAACCTTATGTTCAGAGAATATATCTGAATTAAATTTGTTCAAAATTTTAATGAAGGAAAATATTATACATATATGATTTATGTAATCAATTGTTTAACTTTATTAGCATTTATGGAATTATAGTATTAGTGATGCAAGCGGTCATTTATTAGATTTTTGTAAAAATTAACTATTTGTGGTTTTTGCTTTCATTATGGTATTTGTAATTTGGTAACTATAAATTACTTGATCCAGTTTTGTGTATTACACAAGTTTATTAGTGTAAATTATGTATAATTGAACGTTGATATTAGTGGTGAATTGTTTTATGGACGTTTCTACCTCCGCAATGGTTGATTCTTAGAACTTCTTCTCTGTAATATGGAGAAGAATCCTATTTTTGTGAACTTGATGATTATCTAACAGCACACTCCATTTTGGATTTGTCTTGATTTGCCACTTGAGCTTCCTTGAGTATATATATATATCATTCTCTCTAAGTTATTTCTGGATATTTAGTTTTTAATCTATCAATTCATCCCTGATGGATATATGCAGACTTGCTATGCTATAGCTACCTCTCTTAATGTTACACATGAAGAAGTTATATATTGAAACTGAATGATTTTCATCAGATTGAAAAATCAGAGATACAGTACCTTATATACACTCCACATGTTTACAAAATATATATTTACCTAACTACTCTGTTACAACAAGTTGAACTAACACTTGACTTGTTTGGTTTGTAGGACAACATATCTCTAGTCTGATCTTGGATTGTTGCTGAGTCTTGATTGGTTACACTAACTGTACAAACATCTCATGCCTATGGGGACATCATGCTACTTGCAAAAGCTTTCGAGTCCAAACACGTCACTTTACGTGCTCCATGTGTTTTGGTTTTTATAGTTTATCTTGCTTTTAGGTCGGTAAAAATGATCTTGTACTTCATTCAAACATTCTATAAGTGCTATATTTCAGCTCCTAAACTTAATTTGATGGCCTTTTTTGCGATGGACCAAGAATATTTGATGCAGCTGCAATGATGGCATTTGCGTTGTCTCCTTGGGATCTCATAATGTATTAGGTGTAAGCCTTGGAAGCACACCATTTAACGCTTATAATTGCTCTCTTCCAAAATAAATAAGTTGAATTAATGTTTTTATTAATGACTATTGATTAATCTATATATTACTGAATGGAGGAAGGATCACAGATTAATTTGAAAAAATAGAGGTGAAAAACGCAGCAGAGAAGTTTTGGAACAACTAATGTGCCGGTAAAATGTCTTGTATTCCTTTAGTTCTAGCAAGGAGATTTTTCCATCTCAACTGGAGTCTTGAAATAGCTATTTAAAATGTAAATACAGTATTACTTCTATCTATGTTAATTGGTTTCTTTTCTATGGTTTTAGTAAACAATGAATTGTTAATTAATGGAACATGAAAAAATAAAATAACCTGGAAATGAAATTTATGGTCATAATTTTGTGGGAAGAAGAGTATACATTATGTTGATGTTTGGTGCATTATGTCTGAGTCATAGCACTTGACATGTACACCTTGAATCTTTAGTGAAATCAAACACTTGACATGTAGATAAGCCAAATCAAGCAATATATCTGCCTCTCCAAATTCTTAAGCATACTTCTAGCTGCTTAACCTTGGCTGGTGAGGAGTAGATTGTTTTCAAACTTGGCATGCTGTATGGTTTTAGACTTTTCTTAGGTGTGCTCTTTCTAATTTATGTCAGGTAGTTGCTCTTACAATTGAATCCAAGTGTGCAGAGAACACACCATGGTCAGATTGATTACTGAAGTAAAGAAAAATACACAGATGAAAATTGAATTGTCTGTGACCATGAAATTTGAGTTTGTAGTTTAAGTTTAGTATTAGAGTTAGGACACCTTTTAGGTAGAGCTCTCATAAAAATAAATAAAAAAAATTTGCAAGTGTGGTAGTGGATTTTTTTTTTTAATACTATCCATATACCCCAGGTCCCCAAATCTCCTCCATATTACCCACACCACCCCCCTCCCTCCGCCGCCCTCTCCTTCTTCTTCTTCTTCTTCTTCTTCACTCTTTCTTTTTCTCTAATATATTTTGTTTCTAAAAGTAATGGTCTTGATGTTTTGTTGTTTGTATTGTTAGTGTCATATCAATCACTTGAAAAAAATACTCAAGGCCAAGATGATAGCTTTGTGTCCTTAGCAAAATGGAGGATCTTGAATAGACTGCATGATAGGAATGAGACTTTATATTTAAACTACCGAGTAAGTTTGGTGGCAATTATCAGCTCGTAAACAACAAGTGATTTAAGAATTAATTATAATTTCTCTTTAGCTAGAGAGATAATTTGAAGCAATGCTGTATTGCTGTTGCTTTTCTCTCCATGTCCTCACTGATAACATAGAAGATTTTGCTCCAATAATATACACTCCTACAGTAGGATTGGTTTGCCAAAACTATTCAGGGTTGTTCAGACACCCACAGGGAATGTACTTCAGTGCAAAAGATAAAGAAGAAATGATGTCCATGATCTATAACTGGCCTGGTCATCAGGTATTTTGGAAATCTAAAATGCAATAATGTCCAGTTTTGTTCTCTTTTTTGCTTTTATCTACATCTTGGTGATGCATTAAGAGTGCTTCGTACTTGTACCGGATCAGATGGGAAACAAAGCAAGGTATAAAAATGTGTTCAGTGTAGCAATGTTGTTTGCTGTGAATACTGAATATATACATTACAAAATGAGCACTTTTGCTCGCTTAGAAATGAAAATTGGTTCAGCACTCCTTGCCGCTTAAAGGTTATGTTCATCATTGCACTTGACATATCATGGGTATATGGCTTCTTCTGTATTGCAGGTTGACATGATTGTCCTGACAGATGGCAGTCGCATTCTTGGTCTAGGTGATCTTGGGGTCAAGGGAATTGGAATGCCCATTGGAAAACTTGATATGTATGTCGCTGCTACTGGTATCAGCCCACAGAGAGTATGCTCTGCTCATCTCTCTTTGTTATGTACAGGTTCATATAGGCATAGCACAAACAGGTGTGCACTAAAATAAAATTGGTATACAAGTGTGCGTCAATGCATAAACACATGTGCACACTGACAAGTAAATACACACATTAATACTGGGCTGACTCACTGATACTTACCCTGCTTGGTTTAGATCATAGCACATTGTTATTGCATGTATCATACACAGAGAAGGTTACCTATGCTTGCTTATATGTTGATATGTTTTCATGCTTCACAAAACATATTTCTGTTGGCTATTTTTCATCAATGTGGATATTATATTGATGAAAGTGCATATATATGAGATAGAAGGTTAGATGCGTAAAGAACTGACAGTAATTTCTTGTCCACCTGATCTCAAAGATATTAGTAACTATGATATTCATTATCTTATATTATATATCCAGTTTTGGACTAACTTTTTACCCTTTCATTCTGCTTTCTTCTATACCAATCTAGATGCATTCATCTATGACAGATACTTCCAGTTATGCTTGATGTTGGTACCAACAATCAAAAGCTTCTTGAAGACCGTCTTTATATTGACTTTGTGCTGTTTATTTTATGTTCAGTGGTCCCTTTACTTTATTTAATATTTTATTGTTTCAAATATCTGCCTTTACTCATTTTGTCCTTCATAAGAGTTTAAAGGCTGCATTTTTGGGACTGAATATATTCAATCAGATCACTTGCTCTTTAACATAATTGATTATTATCTCTCTTACAGACTGTGATAGGCCTTGAACACTGCAATATTCGATGCCTCTCTCTCTCTCTCTCTTTTCACATACACAGAGAGGAGAGGTGAAGTTGCTTGTGCTAATTGAAGTTTCATGCATCTCCTTCATTTGGTTGTTCGCTTTCTCAATATCTGCGATTATTTTGCCGTCATATACACTTGTTTTAAGCAACATGCTTGTTCCCTTGTATATACGATAGAAGTGTTTTGCTGATGGAGGTATACATGTTCATATCTGATGATTCTGAGAACTCCATGAAACTTAGAAAAATCTTCTCAATGGAATATTCTTGTCAAATGAAGTTGCTGTGACCCTGGACAAGTATCTGTTGTCATCTTTTGAGGGTACTATGCAAACGAACTATAATAATTAGACTATAAAGCTTCATTGGTGCTGATTATGTAATATACGTAAATAAAATTACCCTTATTGAGTAATGTACTTGAGACAAAGTGACTAGGATAGCATAGGATCTTTTTTGTTATTAAGCAATAGAAAAATATGGATTGATCTAATGCATCCCGAAAATTACTCAAAATTTGTTCATCAGGCAACCCGTCCTAGGCCATATTTGACTGTCTTAGTGTGACTTTATATTAAAAATTATGATGTAGGAAACGTTCAGTGACTCTGAAAAAGGTTTCGATAGAACTGCTAAAGTTCTTGTTGATGAAAGCAACAATACAATTTTTTTTTGAAAAAGACTAATATAGAAGTGGATGTAGCACTTTGTATATTTTTCATTTCTCTTAACTTAAATTTAACTAGAAGACATTGAATCATGATAGAATTAAGCACTTCATTTTGTTGAGGGTGTTAATTGCGATCCAGAGGTCCTTTCGAAAGAGAATCATAATTAATACTTGGAATCAACTTTAACATGGATAAATGTAACGCCCTCAAAAAAAAGTACAAGACAACATTCACAAATTGTCATAAACATAGGGGAAACATCATCTCTTCATTCGTCAGAGTTTTCTTTACAAAAGATATTACATGCAATACATTTTCATAAACATTCATCTTGAAACTATAGTATGTAACTCTAACTTCTAAACAACAAAAATAAGTGTCCAAAGGCCTTACAGCTTTCCAAGTTAACACTTGGTTACAACAAAAGAAGAGTTCTAACTCTTTACATATAAAGCTCTTGGCTTGAAATTTTACATTTAACACCAAACAAAATATGTAAAATGGAGTCTTCCACCCCTAAACCTCCCAAGCTATGTCCTTGGAGGTGGCATGCCCTCTGTACTTGAAAAATTGTATCCCAAGTAGGGTGAGCCAAAGCCCAGTAGAGATATGCTAAACAATATATGAGAATTAACTAAAACATTAGCATCCGATAAATGTTAAACACTAGTCTTCGTCCCTCAACCCCTCCTACCAGTCACTACTATGATTCCCATACCCACATCTCAACCTCTTCAGGTTTGGATAGATTTCAAATTTCAAAACTATAAAATAAAGAGAAAGAAACTTGAGTATTAACTGCAGTGGTTATAATTATGAGAGTTTCAATGACCAATTTCATTTCTATTTAATTTTTAAAATCTGTAATATGATAGCAATATTGACAATGAACTAGCAGTCTTTGCAATTTTAAAAAAAATTGTTTAAATATTGTGTGGATTAATGTATGTAAGGAGGTTAATTTCATCAAGTTTAGTTGACATGCTAGAAATTACAAAGTATTATTCTTATTTTGGTTGGATATTCTAGTTTTATTGACTTAATGTTTACAGTGGATTCCCCTATGGACACTCTGTAGGACATTTTTGCTGACATTTGGGATTCAAAAGAAAGGTTGTGTTTGATAAAGTTTTAAAAGATTTGAGATTAGAGTTGTATTTTGAGTTTGTGAGTTTTGAAATTATGATTTGAGTGTGAAAATTTTGTTTGGTTATGAGTTTGGAATTGAGTGATGTGACATATGATATTTGATTTAAAAATTTACAACTCATAACACAACCCAAAATTCTATTCAAAGCTTATAAAAAATTTTAAAAAAAATTCCCAAAATATTTTTTATTTAAAATATAAAAATAACAGGTGCCAAAAAAAAAAAAATCACGAACACTGTTCCGATCAACCGGCCAGATGTTCGAGGGGACGTCCGGGAGGATGACCCAAAATTCAAAATCCTCTGCTTTTCAGAATAGAAAACACGAAAGAGAGAGAGAGTAGCCAAACAAGAAAGTTAGAAATATGTTTTGAAATGTGGTGGAATCACAATTCTAAAACTCCATCCAAACAATGCATGCAAATGGAGGAGTGGAATTAAGTTTTCAAAGCTGCACCAAACACAAGTTTTCCCATATGGATTAACATATGTAGGAAGGCTAATTTTACAAAGTTTAATTGCTCTGTTGGAGATTTAAATTTGTTTTTGAGTGGATATTTCAGTTGATGAATTGGAGATTTTAGTTGTATTGGTTTAATTTTTTTATTCATTTTTTGATATGTATGTTCCATGTATTGGAGACGCAAATTTAAAATTAATATATATATATATATATATGTATTAGGATAATTATACTTTTTGCCCATGTAGTTTGATCAAAATTTATTTTAATCCTTATTGTTTTAAATTGAACAATTTGATCCCTATACTTAAAGTATAATTTTAATTTGGTCATTTCATCTAAATTAAGGTTAAAATTAACAAATTTGAGACACTTGTCAATTATCTGAAGTGCATAGACAAAATTAACAAAAATTTATATTGGAAGAACAAAACTGAAATTGGGTTTAAAGTGTACGAGCTAAATTATTCAAATTGAAACAATAAGAATTAAAATAAAATTTAGATCAAACAATAAAGATGAAAAGTGTAATTAATCTATCAATTTATTATTAGAAATGACATAATTTTAATTGTATAATTTAGAAAATAAATTTCAGTCATGGATTAAAAACACAAGCAGCCCAGCAGCATAGGGAATCCACGGATCAGCTTCCGCTTTGTTCACCTTGCAAAGGAGCCACACTAGGGCACCCGTTTAATAATTTTAAGATTTGAAAAAATCATTATCTATAGAATCAGATTATACTAAAAAATTGTATTTATTAAATATTCAGGTTAAATTTAGTATAAAGAATTATAATCTAGCCCAAGCTCACCTACTTCTAAAATATTAATCATAATTTTATATTATTTTAATTATAAAATAAAGTAGAAAAAATACAAAAGACAAAAAATATATATTTTTCAACGGCTTAAATTAAACTATTTGTTAAAAATAATATTTATTTTACCATTAAATTTTATTACCATTCCAAATTCAAAAAAATAAAAATAATAAATAAATAATTTAATATTCATTGAAAATAAAAAATAAAATTTAATAGTTCATATTTATTGCCTTAGGTGAATGAGTTTGGAATTTGAAATTTTTTGAACACTAGATTTGGAGTGTTTAGATTAGACTCAGGGGGTGTTTGGCAAGATTTTTTTTTTTTTTTTTTTTTCTGTTGCTAAAATAGCTAATAAAAACAAAAAAAAGGTAAATAATTAATAAAACAAAATATCACATTCTATACATCAATCAATCATTTTGTCTCTCACAATTATTTATTCAATTATAAAAAAAAATACAAAAGTCATCACAAATACAACTTTTTTTCATCTCATAAAATAACGAAAAATTTAAAAAACTAACTAAAACAGTCAAAGTTGCCAATGATGCCTCAATGTCCACCGTGAACTGAATGAAGGTAGTCTCTTTCTCACTCAGGAAATTACATTATGTTTGACTATTTATGTGTTGAATTAGAGGTTTTGAAACGGTTGGGCTTTTCTTACGTTCATATCTCAAGTACTTGAGGTGTTTATTGGCTCATTACAAATACCATTTTGATGAACCTGAACCATTATTGTATATCCTCCGTAAAAAAATAAAAAGATAAAAAAAGAACAGAAAATTATTTTATGTTTTTGAAAAATAGATAATTTATTTTCAAAAATACATTTATTATCTATTTTTTCAGAGACAAATAAGATAAAATGAAAATGTTACCATTATCAAATAGAACTAATTTTTTCATGAACGATTTCAAAGTATCAAAATGGGACTCAAGTTTTCTTATATTGAGATGTGAACATAAGAAAGGTAAATTCAAAAATATCATTTATGAAAACCTCCTCAATATTAGTCGCCAACGTAAATAATTAAATATGGATTTTTTTTTTTTGTGGTAATATTCTATTAAAATTTTTTTTTTAGAGAATTGACTCACTTTTTAAATTATTTGGAAAACTAACCTGCTTTTTGAAATCACATTTTGAAAATGTGATTTTAAAATTGAAATTGCATTTTCAATATGCAATATATCTTAGTGAAGTCCATGTCATCATAAATCAACATGCGATTTCAAAGTGAAATTGCATGTTGAAAATGTAATTTCAATTTAAAACTGCATTTTCAAAATGTGATTTTAAAAAGCAAGTTAGTTTTTCAAATAGTTTGAAAAGTGAGTCAATTCTCTAAATTATTATTATTTTTTTTAGAATATTGAAAAAAAAAATAAAAAAAACTCATTCAATTTGCCATTGACGATTCTATTGGTATAATTCCCAATAAATCACTCCCATGTATGATGCACATATATAAATGGGAGATTTTTTTTAAGGTCCCTAATAATAACAATTTAAAGGATAAAGGACACCCAAAAAAATAGTGATGCATCAGGTCCCTGAAACAACTTGGTGCGCATTTTTAATTATTTTGTGTACCAAAATACCCTTGCCAAAATCAACACAGAAACAAACTCATTCCGACGTCTGAGTTACATTCCAAACATCCAGCATCTTCACGAACAGGAGAACAGCAGAATTAGGGTTTCAACATCATCTGCACCATCGACATTAGAGCTTCGTTATCTTCTCCAAAAAAACATTATTACAAAAAATAGGACAAAACATCAATAAATCTCAAATTTTAATTTGTTAAATTATTTGGTCCTGCCTTTTATTTTGTAGACTAATAAGTCCTATTTGAAGGTTAAAAACTCATTATAGGCTTTTTTTAGATTTCTCTCATTTTCGAACATCAGCAACACTATACCAACAACATCATCAAACATCAACTACATCATCAAACATCATAAAACATCATCAACATTGATCAAACACCAACTACATCATCAAACATCACCAACATCATAAAACACCAACTACATCATGAAATATCATCAGCATCATAAAACATCATCAAACATCAACTACAACATCACCAACATTATGAACATCATCAAACATCAACTACATCTTCAACCTCATCAAATATCATCAACATCACCAACATCATAAAACATCATCATCAAACATCATCAACATCACCAACATTGTGAACATCATCAAACATCAACTACATCTTCAACCTCATCAAACATCATCATACACCAATATGGGATACAATATATTGATGTTTATACAATATAACAAACAAAGATACCATATCAAATATAAAATATAACAAATAAAGATACCATACTAAATATAAAAAGAACTAAATGGTTTACAAAAAAATACTCAGGACTAAATAGAGTAACATTTCCCAATACAGGATTTATGAGTAATTTTTTCAAAACAATAATGGTATTACATACACCAATTAATGTACTAACTTATGACATTATTATTGACATCACTTATTATAAAAATTACAAAAATTAAAAATCTCTTAAATTATATCACATGATCTATTAATATACTAATTAATACATTAATTAATGTATATAATATTATTCTAAAAAAAAAACACCATGTGGCGTGTTCCCACCATGCCCCGAAAAAACATTATTAAAAAAATAAACAAACCATAGGATTGTCTCATATGTGCTTAATAAGGCTATGATATGACACCTATTTTTGAAGTGTTCATAGCTTGCTATGTCTACGAGAATGCAGCTGGAGGAAAATATTCTCTCTATCTTGATTTCTCTTGGCGATTCACCTGGTGATTCACTTCGACTCAGTTTTTTAAATAAATAAATGTGTTTGAACTTGATTTTAAGCTCAGTCAGTAAACAAGCTAGTATCATACTTGAATAAACCAAACTTGTTTATTTTTATTTAAATTATATATAAATAATAATAAACAAAATTTCATTATCGAGCTTTAAACCAAACTTGAGCTTGATTAGTTATCGAACCAAGTTCGAACTGTATAATCGAGCTCTATAAACAAACGAACCAAGCTCGCACCTTATAAAACTTGGCTCAACTCAATTCATTTGCAACCCTCCTCAAAAGTGCTTTAGAACCCATATACGGAAAATCTATAATCAAATTCAAATTCAACCCAAGCGATCATAATTCATTGAGAAAACCTATAATCACTAATACTTTTTTTTTCTTTTCCTTTTTTTTCCCTCTCTTTTTTTATTTATTTATTTTATTTATTTTTTTGCCTGTGTTTTCTTTAGATTGAGTTAATTGTGGCAAAGAACAGACAAGGATTCGGCCAAAGAGCCGGGACATTGATGAACCCTTTTCAAATCCTGCACTGCTTTCAAGAAATTGTTGTATTGAACTATACATATAAACTTGTTCACATTTCAAAATGATCCTAATATACAACATAATCTCTTAATGAGAAAAAAAATATATATATATATTTTTCATTTTTTCGTTAAGTCAACAGTGAATGTTTGGTATAACAAGCAAGCAAATAGTCTAAAAACAGCAGTTAACAAAAATAATTGGCAGACCATAAAGAGCTCTAACAAAAATCAAGGTGAATTTAACTGCTGTAGCTTAGCTTTAGTTGCATCAAGTTGTCCTGTAAAGTAACCAGCAAACAGATGAGAACAATACGTATTACAAGATTACTACCCGTGGTAAAAAAATAAAAATTTAAGGGAATCAAAAATAAAATTCTCACTCTGTTCAAATGTGGTTGCTTTCTGAGCAGTAGTACGGAAAAATATGTTCCCATTTTTCTGATAAACAGCCTGCAGACAAGTAACGCAATTGTTTCTCTGTAAACTTAATTGATCAAAACAGGAGAAGCAAAGGCTAGCAAACAATATACGGCACACGGTGCTCTGAAAGTTCAAAGAGTTTATTGTGAATGACAAATTAAGGAAAAGTAACGCTCTTATGCAATAAGCACATATGACACGACATGAAAATAAAAAAATCATAGTCACTTTAATGATATCACCCGTCAATTAGAGGATGAAATTTCAAGTTCAAGCTTCCGTTTTAGTAGTGAACATGCACTGTTGCACCAAGTGGCAAGAGCCAAGACTAAAAAGCGGGTTAAAGGTTCTACTGCTAAAAGCTTAATTCTTGATAAAATGGCTCATAAAAATAGATCATTAAAAACTTAGAGGCTTAAGATTCGACAGCACAAACTCAATTCAGCATAGAAAGCTGACGGCTTAGTTAATGATCTTCTCCGAATGCCCTTCCCCTCCTCTCTTTTGCACAGACACTTTATATGAAATTATCTCAGTTACATGGGTTCAATCATAAAATGATGAAGATAATTAATACTAAGCATTTTAAACAATAAGTTATGCATTTTTGTTATAATGTATTTGATGCAAGAGAATTGATGAAAAAAACCTTCACAAATTATGGCCAAGTAACATTTTTTTTTATATAAATAAATTATTTCCAAGTACATGTGAAGAACTTGAGAACGATAACTTGCAGATCCACCAATTATTGCAGGTGCAACTAAGCACATCACAGCGCATGGGTTGTAATGGAACCCATCTAAAGTCTATGCTACAGTAAAATTCAGGTTTACAATATATATATATATATACTGCTATTTTTAATTCGTCACCCCTATTTTTTTCAGTTGTCTTTTCTCTAATTTTTGCCACCTGCCTGCATTCCCTAGAAAATATAAAAGGAAATTGCTGCTAATAATTTCTTATAGATTAAGCTGATGAAGAAGAAGAGGATACTGTCCTCTTCAAGAAACTGAACAAATCAACAGAACCCATGCTTTCTTAATTGGGGCCTTTAAATATATATTAAATTGAGGCCTTTAAAATATGTTGATGACAAGAATCTGGGATAGTTTGGCTACCCACTACAATTGAGAAGGAAAATACCTGGCTGATTAAGCATCCCAAAACCATTTGGGCCACGTGGGTTCAACCATCTATGACTTACAACCTCGTGATTCTCATTTCGTCTTGTCTTAGGAATGATGTTACACAGGTTGTGACCCCAAGATATTGCCATGTTTTTCTGTTCTAGACCCTCCATCCTCTGTAATGCTAATAAAAATATTGACCAGACCACACTTCAAGATTTTGATCTATTCAATGGAAGTTTATATTTTTTGAAATATCTTTCAATTAATATGGAGTATTTTAGGAAATCAAGAACTTATAAAACTTTATTTTAAGAAAGTTTGTGCTGTCTTTTCTTTTTAACTGTTTAATGACCTGATCTGTACCCTCTCATCCTTCATCAGATTTTGAAATTTTAATGGTCTTTTTACAGTTATCTGCACAGTTTTCTTTTCTTCTTGACAGGTCCTTTTTTCCTATTTATTATTTTTTTTTAAATTTCCATTTTTAACTTTGGAAGACAATAATCCATAATTAATTTTGTCAATTGGACAAACTAGGTTGATTTTGGATGACTAAAAGTTGTTTACAATTTGGGTAGGGTTGTTGGTTCAGGTTTAGAAAGATTATGATTATGCTACTCTTATGTCTTCCCTAAAAAGGACCAAGAAGCAAAATTTTGCTCCCCCAAAATGTATATTTCCATTTTTTGGAGTCCAGTGCAACCCTCTAATGACTGACTGACTTGAACTTACTATAACTTTTGAACCTTCAATCTTCTTATGCTTCTAGAAAGCGTAAGAAGTTCACATTTACTGATAATATCATTAAAGTTAATAGAAATTCAGCCAACAAAATATAAAACTTAGGGTTGTTTACAATTTGGGTAGGGTTGTTGGTTCAGGTTTAGAAAGATTAAGATTATGCTACTCTTATGTCTTCCCTAAAAAGGACCAAGAAGCAAAATTTTGCTCCCCCAAAATGTATATTTTCATTTTTTGGAGTCCAGTGCAACCCTCTAATGACTGACTGACTTGAACTTACTATAACTTTTGAACCTTCAATCTTCTTATGCTTCTAGAAAGCGTAAGAAGTTCACATTTACTGATAATATCATTAAAGTTAATAGAAATTCAGCCAACAAAATATAAAACTTAGGCTCTGTTAAGCAAGTGGCTATTTTAGCTTAAAAAGTCACTCAAAAGTCAAAAAGGCAAAAAAGTTTTTAACTCATACAAAAAAATCAAAAAATCCTTTGCATTCTCTCTACAAAGTCAAAGATTCCTTCCCATTCACACTACCTTTTGCATATTTTTTCATAAAAAGCCAAAGAGTCGTTCCCAAACATATTATTGTTTTTTTTTCACCTCATATTTTAGTTTAAGAGCACTAAAAAGCCATTTCCCAAACAGGCCCTTAATTACATTGATCAGTATGCTGATAGACAAATAAACCTGAGAAAGGGAAAGTAAATGCTACTATTTAAAAACTAAAAGGACTTTGAAGACACCAAGAGAAAACAGTTCTACTCTGGCAGATTCCTATTTTTAAATGATCCAATGCTGAATTACTTCTCTAGAAAAGCTTAAAATCACAATTACTAGTGTCAACTTCGCAAATCTGTCTTTCCCTTATAGCTCTAACTGGGGCCTATTCTCTATTACATCCTAGGCAATCATGTCTTCCTACAACTGCTACCCATGTTCTCTTTAGACCTTGCTCTATTCCTTCTTATCACACCTTCAACTTAAATGACATCACACTTCCTCATAAAATTATCTGTTGGTAATTATGTTCCTTCTTTTTTTATCTTCTGATCAGTAACAAAGAAAATTGTATTAAAGAAGTGCCAAGGGGCACAACCTAAAAGTACAGTTTAGATTCCAACATTATTATCTCAACTACAATGCTTTTTTTCTGAACATACTATTTCCAACTTTTTAATAGTCAGCATGCTATTTATATACTCAATCTTATCCAACGGATGACATTAGTTTGCTATATATAATTACTCTATTAATCAAATCCCTAACCTATGACACACAACATTCTGGAAAGATTCCTTGACTTCATTATCCAACTCTTATCCCATGAAAACATCCTAAATTTTCGCACTGGTAATAATGCAATACAAGAAAAGAAGGTTATTTTTTGTTTATAGTTTGACCATTGGTTTTCACAAGTTTAGCATACTTACTTAAATTTACGTCCTATATAATCTATAATAGTCTTAAATATCTCAAGACCATTAGGTATTGAGCATCACTGATGTGGTGAAGATCCAATTACAGTTTTGGTGGGAAAAGATTGCTTGTCTAGTTATCATGACGAATAGAAAACATAGTTTAAGAAACTGTTTTGTTTAATAAATATACTTAAGTAGCTTGTCATTGGATGACTGCATGGAAGCCACATATCTCTAGCTTGTTATGGGTGGTTACAAGTTAACCACTTGTCACCTTGTTGCTGATTTGTAGTTTTTTTTATCCCTATGTACTTCACTATGAACTAACTTCATAAGCTACCTGTAGGGGGATTTGAGGTAAACAATGATTAGGAGAATAATTAGAGAGGCAAAACTTTGTTAATGGTCCAACAAAGATGGAATGGCTGGAGAATAAGTCAACAAAACTCTAGGAAAGTTAGAGAATGAGCAGCTGGGTGAAGGTGGAGTAAGTGGCTAAAGAAGAAGAGAATGGCTGTGCACAAATGGGCAACATCTTCCCAAATTCCCAGAAATCCTCCTCTTGGACCTTGGGAAATGGGTCCTATTTATAGGTTTTTTTTTTTGTACCAAAGGATAGCAAATGGCCAAATAAAGTAAGGATATGTGTCCCTTAGAATCACATGGAATATTCTGTCTTGGGCCACCAGGGTGAAGGTGCTACGTGTCCCTCTACATGTACTATGTACTATCTGTTTGGCACAGATGTCTCAGCAAGTGCACTTGCGACGGGAGTGTTTGCCGCTGCAACTTGCCTTTTCAACTTGAACCTCAGCAAGTGCACTTGTGGCGGTAATATTTGCCGCTACACTTGGCTTCTCAGTTCAGTTTAACCAAGACATGCATTCTTAGGACTTCATAGCCTGCTATCAGCTATGTTCGTGTTCACCTCAACAAAGTCTCCACCCTTAGCCACCTAACCACAAACTCTCTAGCTTCCCATGGCGAAGGCCACAACCAAGTCTGCTATCAGCCATGATACGCCTTAGTACCAAACCTAAAGGGACTTCCTTGGTCCTGTTGTGCAATCAAGGCAAGTCCATGACCTAGGTAAATGGAAAAGGAGTCCCCTTGCACTCGGGCTACCCTGCTCCCATCTTCGCGGGGTTACCGCGGGATACTGATATCTTTGGGTCTGCTATCAGCTCTAACCAGTAGGCTTTGGGGCTTGCTATCAGCGCCAAGCATTAGTCTCTACTTGTGGAGGGGGAGCTTCTCCCAAAGGCTGGTATCATCTTGACAGGGCGTTCCCTTCGCAAGTTAGTTGCGGTGGTTATAGTTGTTGCGGTGGTTATTTCCCATGACAAGTTCAAATGGTGGCGCCAACAATACTACAGATGGTGGCGTCGACAAAGTACTTCCACAACTTGACCGTTACAAGCGCTGCCTCTACAACTTAATTGCTCCGGTTTTCTCTTTCCCACAACAACTTTAGATGTCGGTGGTACTGGCAATACTTGGAATGGTGACGCTAAGACAGAGTGCCTTAGCAACTTGACCGTTGCAAGTAATGCCTCTGCAACTTGACTCAGACATTTTTCCCTAATAAAATCCACTCGGACCCTTGGCGGGTCAGACCTGCTTTGGCCTACTGTTGACTCACTTTCCCTGGGCTTTAGCCCATGCTCCTTCAGCCATTCCTAGTCGCCTAAAAACGGCAACCTCCGTACTCAGGTCCATACTTGATTCGGAGATTAATTTCTGACCCTTTACACTACCTGTATTTGGAGATTCAAATATCAAATTTTGGTAATTATTATAGCCTTAATTTGCTGTTTGTTAGGCTTGGTTTTGAGTCCCATAACCTGTTTTCTTGCATAATTTCAGGCTTGTTCCGAGTGTTATTCGGACCAAGGTCATACTTTAGTTGTTCGAACCTCCCATCAATCACTTTATTCTTCGAATCTAGAATTAGGTCCTAATATTTCTATTTTGAGAACTAAAACTATATAATCACCAAACAACATACATCACAAAACGTTCTTTTGTACATGTCTAGCAAATCTATCTGTGACTAAATCAAATTGGAAATGGTTGCCCACATAGTAAGGCCATTTTGATTAGTAAATCTTTCTCCCTCTAATTTCATATTGTTAAATTGTTCATGTCCATAATGATGTCCATTTGTGTGATTTGTATGCCTATCTTCTCCAACACCCTACTACACACAACGAGTGTGTTTTTTCCAAGTCACTGTAACGATGGAAAACACCTTGGCTTTAAGCCTTCACATAATCACTTACATTTTTTGGACAAATGTAATGTATTAAAAGAAGAGTGCCTCAAAATGGAGCACAGCCCTATACACCAAAAGTATACAAAAATGTCACCTACACGAGCCAAAGTATCTACAGGGGTATACGATTCGCCAGAAATTAACAAAAGAAATAATCAATAGACAGGGTCTATAATCCCGAAAACAAGGAAATAAGCACCAATCCCATCAAACATTGAAGTGAAATCTCTCTCTTAAAAAATTCTCTTGCTCCTGTCTCTCTCTCTATTACCACATCAAGCAAAGAGGGGAAGCCTCCCAATACTTCCTCACGCAACCCTTAGGCCAATAGCCCTTTCATGTTTAATCTTTGTTGAACCATTTTCTTCCAAAACTATATAGCATGTATCAAAAGTTTAATAACAAGTAGTTGGTTTTATATATCCCTTTGTACTTGTTCATAAACAGACAAATACTTTACTGGATGGATGTTAATCTTTATAAATATATAGGTTCTTGCCCTGCCCCTATAAAGAAGAAAATTAAGAGTACATAGGAGGGTAACGAAGGATTTGCAATGGCCCTTGACCTGATTGGGATAAAGGGCATGGTTAGCTGAGGAAGTGCTGAGGGCAAGTTTTAGGACTGAGATTAGACAAAATCTGGGAACATGCAGCCATGTATGGAACCATGATCTGGTGGGGTTGCTCCCATAGAGAGAGACTAGGTTGGGGTTGGGGTTGGGGTTGGCCTATCCCATGCCAAACTCATTGCCATCCCTGTTTCCTTGTTCACTGGGTATTTTTTTTGGTTTTTAAAGTCCAATCAACTATGTTCATTAATCTACATCTCACCCATACAACTTGTCCTATTTAGTACTTCAGCCCCTACACAGCCAGTCCCAAGTAGAAAATAAAGGAGAAAGGAGGGGTGTTAAGTAGATAACATCCAGCATAAACAGTTCTCCTTAAGTCTTGATAAATGAACATACCATGAAAATAACCCGCTTTGGCTACAAGCATGTTTCTTACGGAAACGTTAAATGGTTGTGGGCCCGTTCAACTGTACTATCCAAACTCAAAGTTGACTGACATATGCACAAATTGGTTATCAATTTTGGACATTTTTGTGCACATCCTTCAGCCCAAGGGAGATGAAACAGCCCTAGATCCATCTCTCAAAGTTAGAAGAAAATTACAAACTGTTTTCTGCTTCCCCTGGATTTTCTTTGGCAAATTTTTCTTAAGCTGTGTTTGATTGGACGATTTGGGAAGGGATTAGGAAAAAGAAAGGGAAAAGAGAGGTGAAATGTGACCCTTTTCTAATCCCTTCCCGAATCCCCCCAACCAAACACAGCGTTAAGATTTCGCATACAGATTGTCATAAATTCTTAATCAACCTACCTAGGACTTATCCATTGGCTCTAACTTGATGGTAAAGCAATATTCCAAAGCTGTTGATTTCTAATACCAAGACTCCCTAATAAGATCTAAAATTGACACAACATTGTTCCTCCAGTTCCCCTTCTATAATGGATTTTCATTTTTTTTCTTTAATTTTTTTTTTCTCTGTTTATTGTTCGAGGATTTGTTATCAAAAACCCATACGTCTTGTTACAAATGCAGTTTGAATCATTTTATGAAAATAAAATAAAAAATTAAGCAAAATTATTTTGTAACCAACACAAATTAGTTATAAAGGTTGAGATATCATCCTCTTCATTCCATTCATGATTGTATGGGAAATGAAATTTGGGGACAATAATATACATTTCCTATAGAGACTAATTTGTGTCGTGTTTTCCAAAGTGAAGTAAAATAAACAAATAAACTTGTATTATTTTAGGTTAAATTGACCACAAAACATCCTTGGACAACAATTTTTCATCCATAATTCATAATTACTAAAATTATATAAAAAAAAATAAATTAAAAGTAAGGAAGGTTTAGGGTTGGGGGATTTGCAAACCCGAGAGGATGAAAGATTGTTGAGCTCCACTATAGCAATCTCGTGGCTTCTTATCTGTGTAAATCAAAACAAGCATATATATTAAAATTTTATCATCATCACCATTACATATGTATTTATATAGATAGATATATAGATATATAACTCTGCTATTGGAGAGAGAGAGAGAGAGAGGTACTTTACTTGTTTCATGAGATGGTGAGTGGAATCTGCAGCAGCATTCGAAGTGGACGAAGCTGAAGTCGATGCAGCCATTTTGCCTTGTACACTTCTACTTTTCTCTTCTATTCTTCGCCTAAATTCTAAATGCGTGTATAAAAATAAATAATAAAGAAATTAATATCATATATATTATTTAAAAGGTGAAAGTGTTTTTAATGAAATTTAAAATTTTGAATTTAAATTTTACTTATGCTTTTAAATAATATTTTTATATAGAAAAATTTGTTATGTAACAGAAAGAAAAGTCATCATACTATTAGACATTAAGGGATGTTTTGGAAAATTGGTAAAAAGTTGGCTTTTGACTTTTTATCAAGTTTTTTGACTTTTTTGGAGGTGATTTGGGATGTTGGTAAAAAATTGACTTTTTTGCTTTTTGGTTTAATATTTATTTATGGCATCAAATCAAAATAAAATGATCAACATACCCTTGCCAAACTTTGAAATTTTAGGTTATTTATTAACATGGAGGGTATTTAGGTAATTTCACAAGGCAGCTTTTTTGTGACTTCCCAAATGCAAGTCCTGGCGTTTTCGGCAGCTTGGCGTTTTTCTTCCGTGGACAAAAACGTGGCGTTTTTCATCTCTTCCCAAAATGGCTCTAAGTCATGTATTCACATATATAATAACATAGATATAAATAAACCTTCGTAAGAAAAGTCATCATACTATTAGACATTAAGTCATGTGTTCACATATATAATAACATAGATATAAATAAACCTTCGTTTGAGGTGAGTTTTTTTTTTTTAGTTTGACTTTTTTACTTATTTTTTAGGTTTTTTACTTAGTTGATTAAAAAGGATGGGTTGGAAACGGTGATTGATTTTTTATAGTTGATTTGGTAATGGTAAAAATAATAATAATAATTAGATATGATATTTTATCTTATTAATTAAAATAGTATATTTTATTTGTATTGGTCAATTTAATCACAAAAATTTATCCCAAACAATCCTAGGTCTATGAATCTACCCTTATTTGTAACACCCAAAATAAATAGACATTCTACCCCCGCATAATATTACTAACTTGTAGAACACAACAACAATATGGTTATACAACATTATTTCCAACACGTGCCTCAGTACATTCTTATTAGAATGAATAAAATTAAACTATTACAGATTAATGCCTTGAAGTTACAAATTTCTAAGGTCTTGTCCGGTTATAACAAATGAGTCACAATTCAATACAAAAAAGCATGTGGCTTAACTTACAAACAAATAACCAAATAAAACAATACATACGAGCATCAAGCTCCAAGATCCTCCCAAGTTATCACCTTGGCGGAGGCACACCGGTTTACTTGAAAGTGGTTTTCCCTTGTAGGGTGAGCATAAAATCCAGTAGAAATAAACTTAATGACATGTATGAAGTTTAACAATGTCATAAAATGAATGCAGGTGAACTAATATGATAAAACATGTATTTTCTCTCCTTCAAACAATGTAATACGAGATTTCTAAAACATCTTTTCAAATCAACAATATTCTTTTCAAAACGATCAAGTGATAAATATAAAGAATAAATCTCTAAGACTAGTGTTCATAATAGTAACTATAAAAGTCACTATACCATTTTTACCGGTATTAACCGGAAGGCTCGGCACCTACCGTGCGGGTTTTAGGTCTTACACATTAGATACACAGACCAACTTAATTATGCTTTAATACCCCCTTATAGCTTCACCATTTTATTTACTCTTTCAATAATACAATATATGTATCTCAAAACAACAATACATTTTCCGAAACATTGAAATCCCTAATCGCAAATCCATGATATGCACAATGCGATGTATGATTTGTAAACATTTCCATTCCCTAATCCATGTGCAGTTTCTACAATAATCAATACAACCCTCTACCGATTGTCAAAAATAATTATCTCTAATTAAAAGACAACAACAATAGTAATATTGAGGTGAAATGTGACCCTTTTCTAATCTCTTCTCAAATCTCCCAACCAAACACAGCGTTAAGGTTTCGCATACAGATTGTCATAAATTCTTAATCAACCTACCTAGGACTTATCCATTGGCTCTAACTTGATGGTAAAGCAATATTCACCATCCAAAGCTGTTGATTTCTAATACCAAGACTCCCTAATAAGATCTAAAATTGACACAACATTGTTCCTTCAGTTCCCCTTCTATAATGGATTTTCATTTTTTTCTTTAATTTTTTTTCCTGTGTTTGTTGTTCGAGGATTTGTTATAAAAAACCCATACGCCCTGTTAGAAATGCAGTTTGAATCATTTTATGAAAATAAAATAAAAAATTAAGCAAAATTATTTTGTAACCAACACAAATTAGTTATAAAGGTTGAGATATCATCCTCTTCATTCCATTCATGATTGTATGGGAAATGAAATTTGGGGACAATAATTATACATTTCCTATAGAGACTAATTTGTGTTGTGTTTTCCAAAGTGAAGTTTAAAAATAAAATTAAAAAAAAAAAATTCTATTATTTTAGGTTGAATTGACCACCAAACATCCTTAGGCAACAATTTTCCATCCATAATTCATAATTACTAAAATTATAAAAATTACAAATAAGGAGGGTTTAGGGTTGTGGGATTTGCAAACCCGAGAGGATGAAAGATTGTTGAGCTCCACTATAGCAATCTCGTGGCTTCTTATCTGTGTAAATCAAAACAAGCATATATATTAAAATTTTATCATCATCACCATTACATATGTATATATATAGATAGCTATATAGATATATAACTCTGCTATTGGAGAGAGAGAGAGAGAGGGAGAGGCACTTTACTTGTTTCATGAGATGGTGAGTGGAATCTGCAGCAGCATTCGAAGTGGACGAAGCTGAAGTCGATGCTGCCATTTTGCCTT